CTCCCTCTCCTTTCTTTCTTCAACCGACCTTTGGTGGTTTTTAAAGTTTTTCTCCTCAGGCCCCACTCCTTTCTCTGCTGCAGGTCACTTCTGATGGTTCTGAAGAGTTCCCGGCTCTCTCTTTCGGGCTGGAGCTGCAGTGAGGCTTAAGTTTAAGTTGGGGTTGAGGCTGGCCCAGCCTGGCCAGGCAGGGCCGGGGCCATGCCACCCGCACCTGGGGCCATGCTGCTCGGGGCCGGTGCCAGAGAGAGCAAGAATGTGCCCTGCATACCCCTTAAATCCATGAATTCGCAGGGGCGCTGATTGGCTTGGCCCTGGTCAGACGTGGGTCTGACAAAGGCAAAGGGGGAGCTTTCCAGGTAGCTTCTTACATCCATAGCCCTTCCCCTGTTACCAAAACAAAACCAAAAAATCCCCTCACAGGAAACCCAATGCAGTGAAGTGTAAAACAGAAAGAGCCACTTTCTGAAAGGACTCGGGTAGAGTAAGATGGCCCTACAGAATTCTCTGGTCATCTAAAAGTTTGTGTTGGAAATTCTTCCAGTTGGTAGAGTGCTTTGTCTTCTGCTCCATAAACAGCTGCACGCGTTTGCCCACCTTTTGCTGGCGGTGTTAGACAGCATGGTCTGCCAGCCTGGGGCCTGAGCCCTGCAGCACCCTCAGCCCCTCTTTTGTCTGGGGAGGAGGAGTGGGAGCAGCAGTGCCAGCCAGGTCTGGCTGTTTCACCTCAGTGCATGCTAATACCCTCCCTTGTTACCTCCTTTTCATCGCCAGCCCCTACCTGTAGATCTGCCTGTGTCTCTGACCCCCGCAGTTTCTGAAAGCTTCTGTGTTCTTTTCCTGAATGCCGGCTATTTAATCACCACTGCCAAAAATCCCTGTAATTAAGGGATTCAAATCGGTGACAAAGGCTCCCTTCTGCCACTCAGGTGAGCTGCCCCCAAGAGTCAGCTCCCACCCCGGTGCCATGGGCCTCCTGGGCTGCTCGGGGACAATGGCACAAGGAGTGTCCTGCCCTCAGCCAAGCAGCAGAGGTCAACAGGTGACCCAGGGAGAAGTGGAAGTGGGTAGTTAGTTTGGAAGGTATTATTTAAAGTTAATAAGCTACAATTATATTGCTTGAACAGTAATCCCTTTGTTTCCCTTTGCTTTTTGCATGTTTTAATGGGGGAAGGTTATTTTTTAATCTGTTGTTAGGGTGCTTTTACTTTTTAAGAAAATAAGACAAAAAGCATTTTTTCCATACTTAAAATGCTTTCATGTGAAGCCTGTTTGTGTTTCATATTTCCCATCTGTGCCTGAACATTAATAACATGAATTTAATGGGGTCCTGCTTAAAATGCAGAATCTTTTTCTTTTTTTTTCCCCTTCCCTTTTTTTCTTTCCTCTGAGAGAAATTGTACAATACCTGAAACCCATCTCTGCAGTCCCCTTAGCTGGCTTGGTCCCATATGGCACTGGGTGAAATTTATGTTGACTCTTCCTCCTTGCTCAGCTCAGTAACTGGGAGCAGATCATAGTCCTTTTATTTAACTCGGCTCTGTTATACCAGTACTGTAAGTCCTCAGGCAAATAAGTGGTTTAAATTGATGTTTAGATTCAGTGTGGGTTTTAATAATACTCTTCTTGTGATTTGGAGCCATTTGAGTTTAATTGACTTTCATCAAGAAAAGAGGCTCACAACCATTTATGGTTGGATGTGTACCTTCTTTTTATGTCTGAACGTAAGTCCTGTTGATGTTGTCGGGAGTTGTGAGGCTTGGTTCAAAGATCAGGTAGTCTGTACGTGTCAAACAGGACTTTTTCTTCCCTTCTGTTTCATGGTTAATTTATAGTTTTTGTTATTGGCATAGTGTGTTTAACAGTGGGCACTAAAAGACTGCAGAGACAAAGGCTGGGAAATGACCTTTCAGCTGACAGCGATGGGAAGCTGCTGTTCCCCACAGGCCCGGTGCAGAGTGGGAGTCAGGTGCTTTTGCTGATGGGCAGAAAGGTTTTGCTGACGGGAGGGGAATAGCAAGACTCGGGAAGGTCTGCTGTAAGTGAGGCTCTCAGTCGTGCGTTTTCTTCCTGTTATCTGCTAGTTTTTGATCCCTTTTAACTCATCTCCTGAGAGCTCTTTCTCTCACCCACTCCTGTTTTCCTCCTCTATCCATTCACTGTTTTCAGACTTTTAACCCGGTCTCACCCCAGTGTCCCTGGCAGGCCTGGTCATCTCCTGCCTCAGTCCAGGCAACAGGTTGGGCATTGCAGGCAGTGCCAGTCTTGCCATCTTGCCTCCAGACTGGATCTCTCCTCCTTCCTTCCTTCTTCTCTCCATCCCAGACTCTTTCTGGCTAGCTAACCTGGGTCTGACATGCTGGGAGACTTGGACTTTCATAGGAAAAGGCAAAGTGAGGAGTAAGCAACAGTAAGCCCTTCTCTTTGGCACTGTTCTTACACCTGATCCTGAACTTTCGATGAATGACGGGTAAAAGCCCAAATTGTATCTCTACATCTGCATACCATTAGTTGCTGGGGAACTTCAAATGCCAGTGCACGTTTGGCTGGACCGACTCCTCAGTGTCTTCCCTAACAGACTAAACTCTTGTGTGAACTTTTCTTAATGCCACTTCTCCATTGAAGTTTAAAGCTGAACTAATTATATACGTAACTAGATACAGTATCACTTGTGTAGGTGTAGAAATAGTAATCTGCAGAATTAACATACTATACGACGTTATTATCTCCAACTCGGAGGGTTAGTAGAGAAGCTCTGCCATCAGGAGTTCTTTGCCCCCTTCAATTATACAGTGAGCAAATGAATGAACAAACTCCTGGGGATGTGCATTTTTGATGGTCAGGGATTTTTTTTTTTTGCTGCCATCCTGATTTCTGTGTTTAATAGACTGCTTCCAGTTTTAAATTTGCAGTTAAGTAAATTTGGAGGTATTGGCATTTGCCTAATTACGCTTGAAAATCAATCTACCAAAGCACCTCTGTTGTAGCATTTAAATCCGTATGTGATAGGGCCAAAAAGCAATTTGGCCCTTTTTTTTTTACACAGAATTGCAAATACACGTTTGAAGAAAAAGTAGCTGAAGCGCAAGCTTTCTTTTCTTTCTTTAAATGCTGAGATGCAAATACGGAGATTTGCGTTTCTTTTGATGCTGTGTTGATGCCAGGAACACTTAGAGCAGTTTGAGGAGTCTCCTGCCCCGCTGGTAAGTGTGTGTTGTGTCATGGGCTGTTGTAGGGGAGCTGCCGAGCACAGGTCGTGGCAGGTCCAAACAGCTCAAGCCTCAGCAGGTGAAGAAGTCTGAACTTGTCTCAAGGGAAGGTGCTGTTTTGAACTGTAATGCTCTGTTTTGTTCTGGCAGGCGCAGTAAGTACAGTAAGGCTAAGCAAGAGGCAGATGAGGAGAAACATTTGAACCAAGGTAAGAGGCATCAGTGCTGGGCTTTTTGATTTGATCTGTAAAACATGTCCCACGTTCAGTTACTTGGGAAATAAGGGATGACATTCCTCTTGATGGATATGTTTCTGTTTTTCTCTCTTGCGAACGTCCTTCTTCAAAACTGTGCACTTTAGTAACAGGGAAAATAGAAGTATCTGGGTGAAACTTTTGAGGGGACAAACAGAAGAAAGGTTCATCGAATTTTTCCATTGTTCCATTCCACTGAAAGACATCAATTCTTGGCTAGTGATACCTAGACATGAATCTCCCCCACAGTCCTCTGCTAAGGCAGTTTCTGGATGGGCTGGATGCAATCCTGCAGGAAAGGGAATGTGAACTTTGCTGCTTTTTTTCCAGGACTGAATCCTACTGTTTCTTCCCTCTCAGTCATCCAGGTAGCAGATCTAGGAGCTGAGCTCAGCGTTTCTGGGCTCCCAAAAGGGAAATGTGATGTGTTTTAGTCTCATAGGTCCATAGATAGGCTATTAGCGTGTTAGTGATGGCAGTGATCTGTGAAGCTCATTTATTGGTCAAAGCGTGATTCCTGACATCAATATTGGGAAATATTAAATATTTACGTTTTAAAACAAATCACATGGAGGGGAAAATACATGAAGTCCTTCCTTCCTTCATCAGTCATTCCTGGCTTACAGTACATTTTTATTGTACACTGTCTTTGCTGTTGTATATCATTAAGGCTTCAGTCTCATATGTTCTGTGTTCAGCAGCATGTAGATCAGTGACTTCAAATAAAATATTTCTGCCTTGCAGGTGTTAGAACATATGTGGATCCTTTTACATATGAGGATCCAAACCAAGCTGTGAGGGAATTTGCCAAAGAAATTGATGCCTCTTGCATAAAGATTGAAAAAGTTATTGGTGTGGGTAAGTGCCAGAACTTTTGTATTTTTTCTCTGTAAATATAGTTTTAAATTTACTTTTAGGAAGCATGAAATCCTATGATTTTTGTATGACAGTTCCCTCAAATGAACTGACATAACGGTTGGACAACACAAGTGCATACTTCATGTTCATGACCGTGGATTCTTGTGCCTTTTTCCTTAAGGGGAATTTGGTGAAGTATGCAGTGGACGTCTCAAAGTACCAGGAAAAAGAGAGATCTGTGTTGCTATCAAGACTCTAAAAGCTGGTTACACTGATAAACAAAGGAGAGATTTCCTGAGTGAGGCCAGCATCATGGGACAATTTGACCACCCCAATATCATCCACTTGGAAGGTGTAGTTACTAAATGTAAGTAGGTAATTTTCATGACAAGGCCAATTTGGAAGTCACTGAGAAATTTAAGTCTGTGGTAGTGTATGCTGGGTTTGGTTTGTTGGGTTTTTTTTACCCTCTTTCCTGTGCAATGACAGATGGAACAGGTCCACTGATAGCTAATATGAGGAAATCAGTGTAGGACAAGTCATTAATCTTCTTGTCAGCTATAAATGGGTTTATGGTTTCAACTGATACTCTGTCTGTAGGCAGCTTGTACAAAATTTTGTAGGGGGAATTAATACTGCAGGGATTGGGGTTTTTTCTTCCCCTTTTTGCTATGCCAAGCAGACATCTTTCACATCTTTGCTAGACTGAGCTGATTGTTACGGGATAGGCAAAAGCAGATGGCGAGCAAAGAATTTAAAATGGTTGGGGGAAAAATACCAAAACAAAACTACAGAGTCATATGTTTAAGGTACAAAGCACAGGTGTAAGGAGCAAGCCTTTGAAATGAAGTAGGCTATTTTAGTGTGAAACTTGCTTATTTGTTGTCTCTGATTTACAGGTGTGATAGTTTCACTCTGTAGAATTTACCTGGCCGATCTTTTTGTTTAGTTGGTTTGGGTGTTTTTTAAAGTCTGTTAGCATTCAGTGTGCCATGAACCCTGCCTCAGAAACAGAATGACAGGGCTTGCTGGATACCGTTTGTAGGTTGGAGCTGAAAATACACCTGTGAGACAGATGTGCTTGGGTCTGACTTGATAAGGTGCCACTGCAATGGTGTAGTTATCGTCCCTACCCCAGCTGCCCTAGGCAGCATGTTGGTGACGTCTGGCACTCATCTCTGATCTGAAAGACCCTTTGGACGTAGAGGCTTGTGCTCAGGGCAGCAAAGAAAGCAGACAGGGATCTTATGAGCTGCTGCTAATGGGTGGAATTTGTAAAGCTTACCTTCTGCAGCTGGTGGTGTGCGTGCTGAATGTGAATGCTGGGTATTGCTAGTGTAAGGACTTAAAATTAGATATGAATGAAAAGTTAAAAAGTAAAATATAGCTAGAAGAACAAAGTATCTCCCACAAGAGGTTGTCCAAGCCATCAGTACCACTGAAAAACCCTGTCCCTCTTAAATGTTGGTGGGAGCTGGCTACTCTGCCACTTGTTTTCTGGACATCTTACCCTTGCTTTTATTTGTGTTTCTCTCTCCTAGTCTGCTGTGTCTCACAGTCATTGAAAATGGCTCCTCCAGAGTGTCAGTTTGCTTTTCAAGACGAGTTCCACTAGGGAAAACAGAGGGTTGGACTTCTTTTGCCCATCGTTTACTGGGGGCCTTCCTCAAAACTGAAATTAAAAGATAATCTGTTTAAATTTTGCAGGTCTGAATCTCTCTTGGTTTTGTAACAAAGAGCAGGGGCAGTGGTCAGGCCATTTTTTTTTGCTACAGACAGTGATTTCTGTATAGCACCTCTGTAAAAGAAAGCCAACCGGGGAGTCTTTGTGTTGAAATCCCACCGAGGCTGGAAGCCCCTGAGCTATTACAGCTCTAGCAGTTATAAATGACTGTATGCATTTGCATAATGCAGTTGTCACTGAATTAAAATGATTTGAAATTTTCACCGAGGAGGTGGTAGCCTGACCTGGGAATGTTTCATTGCCTGGCTCACAGTAAGCGATGCCTCCGCAGCGAGCCAGCGTGGTTACCTCAGAGCTGGTGTGTTTGGTAAACAGGGCTACTTAAGAAGACATTTATCTCAATTTCTCTGTAGGTTTTCTGAATGCAGTGATAAATGAATACATTTAATAAACTGAAAATTAAAATGTGAGATAAATAGTGGTGTAGATGGGGGTTGAGAGAGGCAGCAAAAGCCCATGAATACATTATTGGCTGCTGGTCAAGTACTTTAATAATTGACTCACTGATGGTAACTTCTCCTCTCTCCATTTCCCTCCCCTGCTAAAGAAGTGCCTGAGTAATGAAATTACGTGTTAATGCACTGAAAGAGTCTTCCTTTCTGTGTTGACATAGTATCTTTTGATTGGGGAAGGTTAATTAAAACTCATTTAGCTGTATTTGTTCAGTGGAAGGGTTCTGGTCACAGTTACAAAGGATAAATGAAACAGTGACATATGCAGATTTGATTGGAATATTTTCTCTTTCTACCAAAGAATGCTTGCAGAGGTGAATTAGAGGGAGAAGGATGTTTTACTGCATGCCTTTCCTTAAGGGTGCAAGTACTCAGCCAAGGTCACTAAGCCCTTCATGCAGAGCAGTTTGCTTTATGCGACAGCATCGCTTCTCTGCTGCATCCATGCAAGCCAGAAAGGGTTGAGCTGCCAGAGTTACACTTCATGGGCATGCCAGTTTGCATGGGACCAAAACAGTAAGAGGTTTGGCATCAGTTGGGAAGGGGAGGAAAAGCAGGAATAGTAAATGGCCTGCAAAGGATAAATCGGGACTGAAATGGTGAAAAAAAGTAATGATGAGTAGAATAGATGATGTATTGCACAGAGATGTCGGCCTAAGTGAAATGATGTAAAAGATTGCAGTACGGTCAATCCTTATAGCATATTGTTTTCTAGTAAAAAAAAAGTTACTTCAAACCCAGAAATCCTCAACAAATGAAGAGAAAAGCATAGTGGTGAAACCCACACTGAGGCAGAAATGATCGGGGGAACTTTCAATGTGGCAACATTTCGTGGTAGGGTACTTTTCATAGCTGGTTGTTCTGGTGACAGAAGCAAGGAAAGGTTGAGTGGTTCTGATGCCAAGACAGAATGGAGCTCGGTCCAGGTGACGTGTCCATTGAACCCTTCTTTCCCCATAATGTTCCCTTATTCAGAGCTGCTTCAGGAAGCACAAAAGCAGAGTTTCTCTGGGAAACTGTCTTTTATTTAGGAAGAAACTCTATAGTTCCTGTAACTACAGCATAAATGGGTGGAAGGGCTGGTGCCGATCATCAGGTGCTGCCTTGACTTCAGGTGGGCTTAACAGTGCTCATCGTTGGACCAGGCCTTTGCTATTCAACCTTTGATAAGTTACTTCTCTACATCTCTCATTGCTCACTTTTAGAATGGAGATGATTTTGAACCCATTTCTGCAAATATCTAGATGCTGAATATCCAGCGTTATTTAACCCCGTAAAATAATTGATGTTACTTGTGTGGACCTAAATGTTTTCAGTTTCAGCATTGTATGACTTTGTAAAGTTCCTGAAGACGACATCAAGTGTTATTTATATATTTGCTGTTGTTTTAGGCAGGGAAGTGCCTGGAAAGCATCCCCACGTCAGTAACATCACATTACATTTCTCTTCAGATTCTGTACTGCAGCGAGTGCTGCTCAAGCACTGTGCCCTGTACGTGACACAATTCGTTGAATCATTTATCCTGTGGGTGACTTCATGAGCCAGATGGCTTTGGCTCACTTATAAATAACGAGAGACACTGGACACAAATTTGGGACAGAGAAAGTTGGGAGGAACAGCTTGTATTTTGCATTCTTGAATCTAGTTGTCTTGGAGTACCTTGTAGCTGCTGACAGCTTCTAACCCACCTAAAGGGTCGATCTTTGGGAAGAGGCAGACAGACTAAAGCATTCACAAATTCCATTTTGAAAGAGGAAGGCTTTCCAGTCGGCAAGCAATTTAATTACATTAAAGATTTTTGTCAAGTTTGAACAGATCTTTGTTTCTTAGCTCTCACTTATCAATTCGTGTTCCTCAGAGAACAGGAGCCACTTTAACTAAAGACCTTGTCAATGAGTCAGCCAAAGTTAACCTTCCAGATGGGGCCCTTTAAATGTTTCTGTCCTATAATATTTCTTCTCTTGCTCCCCACAGCTGAGGCATAAGCTCAGTGCTTTTCAAATTAAATTAGATTGTGTAAGCCAGGTGTCTTGGCAGTAAAATCATGTGCAAGCCATTTTTATCCCATTAACATCGGTGTTCATCAAGGAATTGTGTTTTTCTTTCTGCAAACTCTAGGTAAACCGGTAATGATCATAACTGAGTACATGGAGAATGGCTCCTTGGATGCTTTCCTCAGGGTAGGTGACTTCTTCATAATAATTCAAGGAGATTTTATACTAGGAAACATTTTCTGGTTTTCATTCTGGTTCTTTTTGCGGAAAGACACTGAAAATTCAGCATTTTTAGAGAAATTATGTTCATACTTAGAAAATTCCGTTTTCTGATGTTGTTCCTATCAAAAAACCAAAATAAATGTAAAGTGGAAGAATATAGGAGAAATGTAATGTTTAAAATAGCAGGGTCTTAAATAAACCATGTTTAATGGGAACAGTTCTGACTGCTCCAGTTTTGGAAGTATCGCAATGCTATAAACTGCATTAAACCCAGATTCATTGCAAACTGGCTACTGAATCACTGGGAGCTGTGACAGAAACTCTGGGTTTTTACTTTACTGATGAATTATAGACACTAGTCAGGAGAGTGAGGAAATACCTTTGAATTTCATCTGAGCGAGGACGGGAATCCAGAGAGATGCTCTTTGCCGGTTCCAGCAATGGCAATAATGCAGCTTTTAGCTTAATGCTCTGTGATTTTCTTCCCTTCCCCATGTGCAGAAGAATGATGGCAGGTTTACAGTCATCCAGTTGGTGGGGATGCTTCGTGGCATTGGCTCAGGAATGAAGTATCTGTCAGACATGAGCTATGTGCATCGGGATCTCGCTGCTCGGAACATACTGGTCAACAGCAACTTGGTCTGCAAGGTGTCTGACTTCGGCATGTCCCGGGTCTTGGAAGATGACCCTGAAGCAGCTTATACTACACGGGTAAGGAGGGAAAGAAAATGTCTAGTGGATTTTCTTGCCTACATGTTTGTTTTTTCTGTAGGTGGTGACAACGGTTTGTTTTAAAATAATCTCAGTCACGTGTGAAAACCTAGATATCACAACCTAAGAATAAACATTGACCTAGACTCCGTAGCCGGTATAAATTGATGTAATGTCACTGCTACATCAGTATTCCTTCTCTGAGGATGTGACCTGTGTATTCCTACGTTTCCTTCCGTGTGCTAGAGTGCGTGACAGGAATCTGATGCCAGAAATTAGAGCTTTGGCTTCTATTCCTTCTGATATCTACAGACATACGTAACGATTTCCAAGTGGCTAGTCCCACTGAGATTTCATACAGCGTGTGTAGATATGCTACCAAAAAAACCCAAAAGATAAATTCACTTTTGCCCATCACAGAGCTAGTCATAAATTTGACCTAAATAATTTGGACTGGGAAAAATGCGAAGCCTGCATTCCCGTTTTTTGTTTCTTTCCCATTTTATCTGTATTCCAGCATGCCACTGCTAACCAATTTTGCTAAAGCCATTTTAATATGCTGCATGTGGAATAGTACTAATGCAAGTACTTCTGACCACAAAACAGCATCCTGACCGTTACCGGCCTTTGTACCAATACCCCTGTAATTAACATGGGCACAAAGGAAAAAAGTCAGAGTGTATAAAGTCTATTTTTTTAATTGCTTGTTTTCGTCGTTTTTAAATATCTGCCATTCTCCATCTGTTCTCCCTAGTGCAGAGTTTGTTTACAGCACTCAGATTTTGCAGCTTAATCCCGACACGCATCCTTTAATGGATTCACAGTTCATTACAGGGAAGGGTAGTCTCATGTAGTATTAAATGCTGGCCAGCCCTGGTATTTCTCACTCATAAGGGTGACAAATGGAAGAGGCAGAAGCAGAGGTCTGAAAAGCTGTACTCAGGAAAACCAAAGTTCAGACACACACACAAGGGGAAAGACGGAGACGACTGAAAAGCTTCCCTTTGAATTTAGTGAGTGGAGTTATAGTATTATGTCTGCTCTCAAGAATAATCTACAGCGAACCAATGACATTTGCTTTACAGTGCGTTGTCTTCATTTGGTTTCTGTGATGAAGGATCAGGAACATTCAAATGAACTCCACTGTACTCGAGCAGCTAAATAAAAAGAGCTTATTGATGATTTTTAGAATGACACCTGTCTATAAACAATGCCCATGCATCTGTGTCTGAAAGGAGGAATGGAGCTTTTTCGCCCAGAGATGATGCAATAGAATGCAATTTTTAAAGTGTACTTTTTAAGACAATGGTGTGTTCTGCTTTCTGTTAGTAGTGTAACTCATTTGAGTGAGAGCATCCTATGGCCACACAAGACACATACTGCTGCAGCCTGATTCACACGGGGCCTGGTGCAGAGGCCAAAGAAGCCAGGAGAAGGACCCCTTTTGATTTCACTCTGCTTTGGAACAAATCCATATTAAACACTCGAGAGAGATATTTTGAGAGAGATATTGGGACAATAACCTATTAGGTATGCGCATGCTGCACTCAGTTATGGATAAAAACTATCTAGAAGATTGCTGAGGAAAAAAAAACAACCTACCAAAATAAACTTAATCCAAAAAGCATAAAAGCAAATGAAAAACCCTAAAACCTTTGTTCAGCTCAAGTCGTTCCCCAGATGGAACTGCGGGAAACCAAAAGTTCAATTAAAAACACCTTGCATATTAGCATAAACAAAAGGAGAAATTTCTGGCCTGGGATCACTCAGCTAAGGCAAAATCAGATAAACAGGATGGAGTGAGTTCCTTTTAAAACAGTGCAGGACCTCAGTGGGCCAAACCAGATGCCCCAGTGTTTCTAGTTGTTTAAAAAGAAGTATTGTAGCAAGAGGCAGCGCTCTCCAACAGGTATCAAAAGCAGACTTGCACCCTGGTCTGCTGTTGAACTCCTCCCACAGGGACTGGGAGAGCCCAGAGGCTTGCTTGCCATCTCGCGTATCTGTTAAGAGTTGGGATAATTGCCCATGGGAAACACCACAGTCCTCCTAAATCTTCCCAGTTTATCCTCTCTTTATTTTACCTTTTTGAAAAGCAAAATGTTTCTAATCCCATTTTTCTGAAACAAGCCAAACAGGTCAGACAGGCAAGCAAGGAAATAGTAATTAACAGCATGTATTTTATTTGTTTTGTCAACTAAATCTCTAATATATACCATGTAAAACCCCTGGCTTGTTCTCATGGTTCAGCATAGCCCTAAGCAGGGATCTCTTAGAGGGCTGATAAAAATACATTTAACAATTTACTGGTTCGCCTCCTTGTGACTAAAGAAAACAGATGGGCAGCGTTGCCTCCTGGTTGGATCTGACAGTTTTATGGCAAGAGAAAGAGAAAGTGGATGCCTTTTTAAGAAGGATTCTGGTATTGCGCACGGAAAAGCATTTTGGGTTTTTAATGACGGCGTAGAACAGCGTCAGCCACGCACATTACTGGGTCAGTGACTCACTAGCCTGTGGTTTCTTTTATTTGTGACAGGGTGGCAAGATTCCCATCAGGTGGACTGCACCAGAGGCAATTGCCTACCGTAAATTTACATCAGCCAGTGATGTGTGGAGCTACGGCATCGTCATGTGGGAAGTGATGTCTTACGGAGAAAGACCTTACTGGGATATGTCCAATCAAGATGTGAGCTTCCTTCTGAGCTTCCTCTTCTTTTTCTCTCCCTTTCCCCCCCACACCTTTATCTGTGTCCTTAGGTGTATGCTGATTTGTTTCTGTTTCAGTTGCTGTATAGTCATAAGACATTACTGCAGGTTTTTAAAAGGATATAATTGGTGGTAGATTACTGTTTTCTCAGGGAACCTCTCTGGAGCTAAGACTTCCTTGAGCACTTCAAGCCTGTTCTGTGGGCAGGGAATGGGGGATTCTCAAGTTAGAATCTATAACTTCTGCATGTATCTCTTTTCCTTTCCTTTTTACTTTTTTTTTCCTTTCTTTTTTCCTTTTTTTTTTTTTAAAAAAAAAGAAAGAAAGAAGAACAGAGGGAAGGGAAGCTAATATATTTAAACTGCCAGATCATAATACTGTCAAGAGAGGGAAGATTTGCATGTTGATATTAAATCTCAACTTTATTGAAAGTCTTTAAGGAAAACCACTTGAATTTAATAGGGCTTCCTAATAGTAGTTAATCCTTCAAGCCCCAGTATGCTTGTAATTCCTTCAGATGATTTTATTTCTTGTAGGATATCTAAAACAACACGTCTGAAATCCAGTTCTGATTATCAGCCAGAGCATCCTTGTGACAATTGCATAGCTGCCCCAGGAGGATGTTAAAAAGCAGCTTTCCTAAATGACCATTCTTAAATTATGCATGTCCTGTTTAACTGTACCATCTGGACCACTTCAGTGTATTCCAAGAGGGAACATGCACAATGCACAATTCTGCTATTCCAGAAGAGTGTTTAATAATAATGCTAATAAGAGCTTTTGCTAATAGAATTTGTATTAAATGAAAAAAAAAAAAATCCCAGTGAAATTGAGGCATAGATTATCCGTAATTCTTTTCCCAGGGGATTTACAAACATATAAAGGAAGAAGAAAATATTAATCTGAATATACGGTCATGGGAGTGGTTAAGTCATTTTACAAGTCATCTGCTTTCTTACGTAGAGCTGAACATTTTCAAAGAGTGTCTAGATGTGGATGGCATTTAATCTAAATGGGGGATATAATTTTAATTTCCTTCTGATGTGAAATGTCTCTTCTGGCACCCAATGTTGCTTTCCTTTGCTAACAGGAAGTCATCAAGATTTAGCAAGAAAGTAAAACACCAGCTGTGTCTCAGTTACATCAGGCATGTCTACACAGCACAGCGGAGCTCAGCGCAACAAGCGCAGAGCTGGCGTGTTAGTCTGGTACACACCACAGATAAGTGCTGCTAGAGCACGTCAAAAAGCTGACCTGAACAGGACAGGGAAAATTGATATTGCTGTCTTTGCGTCCTCTTTTTAGTCCGTGGCATGGACATACCATTTTTTCTCTCCTTGGCAATGGTGCGAGCAGTGCTTTCCGCAACAAAGTGGAAGTGAATTTCAAATTATCCTTGGTGTCTGTTGAATCAAGAGAAATCAAAAGGCTCTTCATACTTTTGGAAGTAGTGAGAGCCGCTTTGTTTGTGGTCACTGAATAGCTGCTAATAGTGCAAGCATAGCCCTCGCCCTGTCCTCCCAGTGGATTTTAGCCACTAATTGGACAAGACCAGAACGAGAGAATTTAGTGCAATTCAGTCTCTGCGCACTCCTCGTCTCTATTCTCATGGTGAATCCTGCCAACAAAGTAATATCGATTAATTAAAATCTGAAGGCTTCTAGGCCATGTCCCTGTCATATCAGAATTGAGTCCTGGTCATGTCCCGTTCTCCTGAGAGAGCTGAGAAGGCCTCAGAGTCCTGAGCTCTGGAGCTGTTTTTGGAGGGTTTGAAACTTTTTGCCAGTTTTCTGGTTTCTGTTAAATATGAACTGCGTACTTAAGCTGCTGCATTGGACTTCTGTGACTGTCTTGGAAAAGCTGCTCGAAAGGGTTCTGGTCTCTGCATTGCTTCAGTGCATAGGGCGATGAGAGAACAGGTTCTCTACAAGGCCTGTGCTGTTGTTGGAGATGAGCTAGCCCAGGGGAGAGGGTGATCTGCTGTACCCTAAAAATGATGTGGAAAGTTGAATCTTCAACACACGGCACCCAAAACTGACAGATACGAAAGATTTGCTGTAGAGCTGTTGCTTCTCCAACCCTCTGTCCAGCAAGTATGGTTGCTTAATTCTAACATAGGTTGTTTTGTCATTCCTGCATGGTCCAGCAAGTATGGTTGCTTAATTCTAACATGGGCTGTTTTGTCATTCCTGCATCCCATGTGCTGTTTTGTGATACATTATCCTGCTGTATCTGGTGTTTGCTTTGGATGCTGTACCCTTTCAGTTTTGAATTGCTGAGGAGGAATGACAGTTCTGAGACCACCAACTGCCCAAGTCTGAGTGCAATTTTCCACGTTGTTTCACTTAATTGTGGATTTGCTTCCATACTTTGGATCGCTCTAGGATAAATGATGCTCAGCTGGTAGATGTGAGTAGTGTCTGATGTTCTTTAATGTCTTCCTAATTGTGCCACTTATAGGTTATTAAAGCCATTGAAGAAGGGTATCGGCTGCCACCCCCGATGGACTGCCCCATTGCTCTCCATCAGCTGATGTTAGACTGCTGGCAAAAGGAACGCAGTGACAGGCCTAAATTTGGACAGATCGTTAACATGCTGGACAAACTCATCCGCAACCCCAACAGCCTGAAGAGGACAGGCAGCGAGAACTCCAGGTCAGCTGGGCTTTTGTAATGGTGATGTATGAGGGAGTGCAGCGGAGACGACAGGCAAAGCTGCAAGTCGCCTGAAGCTGTGCGCTGGGATGAAAGCACGCTCTGTAGCTCTGCAGAGCCACACTGCACAGCAGGCACCGCACCGTGCAGGAGAGCAGAGGTGTCGTGCTGGCACTGCTGAACTCCGCTGGGCACCCCAGGCTCTCCTAGCTCTGGGAGAAGGAAAAGGAAATGAGCAGAGCTGGTGCTTTATCGCACCAGCGCTGACCAGGTTTATAGCACGTTCCTAAACATACCCTGAAAAAGTTCTGATGCATGCAAGCTCAGTTCAAAGACAAAATTCGCAGCATCTTTTCCTTCTCCCCTCCCGGTGAAAGGGTTTGAAGGGGCAGCTTTAATGCAGTGTAGCTAACAGGAGCGATGTGGTTTTTCTGCAGGAAAAGTACATCATCAAGTTTTATAAACCCTAGATTTGTGTAGGATTTGCAAATGAGCATTACGGCATTACGGCCAACGCCTTACGGGCACTGGGAAGGTGTGGATTAATTTTTACGTGAATTTGAATTTAATTTTGTGGAAAGCCAGTTTCGTGTCTCCACCGATCCCACATTACATTGGTGTTTTGTTCTGTTGGCTAAGCACGGTATACCTGGTACGCGCAAAAGGCGCAGAGTAGGAAGGAAACTCCCAGAGTTGTAGGGTGAAAACACAATAACTTTGTTGGAACAGATCAGCAGTTTGTTTAAGCTGGTGAAACGCTGCTGAAGTAATAAGAGCTTTACTAATCTACACCAGGCTTATTATATTTTTTCTAATGCCTTTGCTTTGTCAGGTAAACTTGCTTACAGCAAGTACGGAAAAAAGCTTAAAAGAAAAAAAAACAAGAGGAAGATAATGGGAAAATATTTTTAGTAGAAGGGAAGGTACAAAAACATCCATTGCACAACACAAAATTAGGTTTCTTGAATCGGTGAAGGAGTAGCAGAGGTTCTGATTCAGCCTCCAACAGAACAATAGCTGGAAAAAAGCTATTTTCATTTTTAAACTTCTCGGTCCCTTTGTGACTCTTGCTTGCTGTACATTATCAGAGGAGGGATTTTTAACCCTGTGAGGCCACTATCACCACATGTCTTCCAGATTGCCCTAATTGCTTTCGTAGCCTGGCAAAAACGTGTCCACCCTTGAGGCTTAAATGGTGAGAACCACAATATGATCCAGTGTAGTAATTTCGTTTCAGAATCACAGTGTGAACTCCTCCATTTTGCTTTCTTTCCAATTTACAGGTGCTCTTTGAAAATATGTAGATTTTACAAAAGTTAATAGCCTGCTCAAGGCCACTTTGTGTCTGTGTATGTGTATATGTATATATATATGTGTGTGTGTGTGTGTATATATATTTATAAACCAGAAGTTAATGGCCTATTCAAGGTCATTTATTGTTCATGGCTATTTGTAGATCTTTATATTTTCTTCGGGATACAAATTTCAAATATGCACCTAACATCATGAATATATAATGTGTCTTTATATGTGCAGCATAATTGTATATAATTAGGTCGCCATCATTGGTCTTGTGTTAGATAGTACGTTAAAAAGTTGTACCAAGTGTTATCAGCACGTACTCGGCCCCCAGGCAAGACATAGCTATGCTATTGCACACCTAATCTTTGATAGTGTGCATTTTGTAATAAATTGCAAAATTATCATTCTTTTGGTTAGATAGTAATTTATGATGGCATAATGAAACTGCAGATTACGATATACACGAAATAATAAATGAGATATTCAGAAGAGAAGCAGATTTTGTAAAAATAATTACTCACAAATTTGTGCAGAGGAAATGAGAAGCACATTGCACAGTGCAAACAAAGATCAAAGCTCACATGATTCCTGGCACACGCGCTGGTCAGGAATGGAGTGATCAGAGAGGAGATGAGCTCCCTGCTGTCCTCAGTTCCATTGAATGCTTGCCTGCAAGCCTGGCTAGAAACAGGACTTATCTGAACCCGCCCTGAGTTCTACCCTCCAAACCAGTCTGGCAGGTTGTGAGCTCCCAGTTCCTTTGCGTGTACGTCAGTAGCATTTCTGTAGCTGCCAAGCTGAGGTCTGACACGTGTGAGGACTGGCGAGGTCTTACGTTGCTGCCTGTGAGACCCCACTGCAGACCCAGTAGGCTGAATGCCTTCCAGCATTGCCATCTTCTTCGTTTTCCGAACTAAAAGCATTTTCTATGAACTCGGTTGCATCTGAGGTGAAAATTGTAAGTGGCATTGTAGTTCTAATTAGTTCTTAGCAAAAATTGGCCTATTACTTTGCATTTGGTGAAGCTTCTTGCATTGGTCTATGTGGCCGTGCCCCTACTTTCCCGAGTCATTGAAGATAATTGTTGGAAAGCCCAAGCTTTAGTTTGTGATTCCTGATCCAGCTGACCCCATTTCTCTGTCCTTTCACTGTTTGGCTTCCAGACCTAGCACAGCCCTGCTGGATCCCAGCTCCCCTGAGTTCTCGGCGGTTGTTTCTGTCGGTGACTGGCTCCAAGCCATTAAAATGGAGCGATACAAGGATAACTTCACAGCTGCTGGCTATACCACCCTAGAAGCTGTGGTGCATATGAACCAGGAGTAAGTACTTAGCGATATAGCAACAAAACTGGTAAATCTGGATTTAATCGGCCCCTTTTGCTTTGTGCTGCATATCATTACACTCATTAAAGGAATGGAATGCCTTTCATTTGGATGGAGGATAACTTTAAAATGCCTCCACAATGCCTTCACTTATTTAATTAAACATTTCTGTACATCTGCCTCGCTTTTGCTGTGTTGCTTGACTCTTGATATTTTTCTCCGCACCAGCATCTGATCCACGGTTCTCAGCCCCCTGCTTCTTCTCTTGTTTTTTCACAGTGACCTGGCAAGGATCGGGATCACTGCCATCACTCACCAGAACAAGATCTTGAGCAGCGTTCAAGCGATGCGCACCCAAATGCAACAGATGCATGGCAGGATGGTTCCTGTCTGAGCCAGTACTGACTAAACTCAGAACTCTTGAAATTAGTTTACCTCATCCATGCACTTTAATTGAAGAACTGCACTTTTTTTACTTCGTCTCCTCGTCCGTTGAAATAAAGATCGGCAGCATTGCTTGATGTACAGATTGCTGAGCGTGTGCGCTGGGAGGGAGGCCTCCAGAAATGACAAGCCGTCGTTTTAAACCATACCTGGAACAAATTGTTTCTTGGAACATGCTTCTCTGTTGATCGACGATATGTAAAATACATGTATCTATATAAATATAAAGTCGCATTCAAGTTTTGATGCTATGTTTGCTGCCAGATACTGTTTAAAAAAAAAACCCAACAAAATTACTTTCCTTCTCCCTGTGACCTGTAGGATTACAACCATAGTGTTTTATTTGTGGTGCAACCACCGTTGTGCATTTTTCACTGGAATGAAGAATCTGCCCTAGGATATTTTTTGCAGACTTGATGCATCACTAATACCTTGCAGAAGCCTCAGTGAGAATATCATTTGGCTAACCTGTGCCTGTCGGTTAACGATCTATCCATTTATGGGCTTGAGACGTGAAATGACCCACCTCATGGATTACTGGGCAGAACTGGACTTCTGGGGAGATTCCTGGCTGCTGTTGTGCCATGCTGAAGCCTACCAGGCATTTTCTGGAGATCTTGCCATTAGTCAGCTGTGACAATCGTGGCTGTGGAGTTTTCAGACTTCTTTTCTCTTTCAAGAAGCGATTCCCTTTGCCACACAGAGAAGGTCAGTGGAAGTACAGTGTCCAACACGTTCGTGGGGCTTTGTTTCTTAAGCTGTGCTAGGATTTCATCACAGTTGGGAGAAAGAAGAAAAACAAAAGGGATAAAGGTGCTGTGGTACGTATTATTTGGAGTTCCCAACTGTTTTGTGTGAAGCTGTGCTGGTTTCCCAGACTAATTGCTTCGTGTTTCCCATTGTTTGCTCTATTTGATGACAGTCAAAATTGCACTGTTTCAAAACCTGGACTTTCTCTCAAGCTGTTGCATGTTAGGATGTGCAGACAAGGTGTAGAAATGTATCTTGAGGCGCATTCAGTTCAGTGCTAAGAGCTTGACCTCACTTTGCACTGAGAGCAGTAGGGATGCCCTTATTTTTGGGGTGGAATACCCCACATATATGGGTCCTATGGAAAATAAGAATAACCTTGTAAAGTACAGATACTCATAAATGCATCAAGAACCATGGACTTTCCTGCGCTCTCATGAGCAACAGTGGAAATAATATTTGTGTGTCAGAAAGATCAATGTCAGCTGCTGTGTCAGCAGTTTTATGGGAGGGGGAGCAGAAGGAAATGGGATTGTGCTTGCAGCCGTCCTAGTTTTGCAGTTTGGGTGTCAGGCATGGTGACAGCTCTATGTTACGCAGCAGTGTTACACTTCAGACGCCATGGTCCAGCCTCATCAGCTGTGAGGACCAAATCCCCGTAGGCTGGTTTATGGAGGCAGTGGTGGGTGTGAGTACCCGGTGTAGGCTGCCTGGCTAATGTCTAAGCGCCCCCCTGCAAGTATGGCAACCAAGATGGAGCGTGGCCTGCTGGAAAAGCTGCCCTCCAGCTCCTCTAAGAAACAGATGGAAAGTTTGAGTGGGTGAAAGCATCCTCTGAGTTGCGAGCTGGAGACAGCAGCTATAGGAATGTGGTTGTCCTCATTAGGTCACATCAGATATAGCTTTATCCAGTAAAGCTCTGAACACATTTAGGCTTTAATATTATTTATGTTAAAGCTTTTGTTACTCTTTTTGAACAGGGTGTATAAATTAGGTTTCTTTTAAAGTAATTTTGAGGACTGAAGTGATGAGTTGACCTTAGAAAGGAGGCCCAGGCCCCCTTCTGCTGTGCTGGGTAGAGGGAGAATTTTCAGGACACATCGTCTGGAACAGGCGTCGTGTGTCAGCTGTGCCAGGCACAGGGTCAGAAAGGTGTGATTTGTATTTTAATGGTTCTAAGACAGCTCCTTTGGTCTGTAATACTTCGGTCCCACTCCCTACCTGACAGCAAATTCAGAAATGGTTTAGTAGCTTTATATGTCAGATTTTTTTAATAGTTGCGTTTATTCTAAATCCAAAGCAGCTCACTCAGTTGGACAAGGCACACTTACTGTATCGTCACTCACGTCGCTTTTAAACACTAATTTGCTCATTTTTAACCCTCAGCTTTCTCAGAGAACGACTTACTCAGAATATGGAGCGCTAAATTTGGATCCTGTCGTGACAGCTTAGTAAAAACTGTTCTGGAGTATTAGAAAAGCTTTTTCATTTAAAGAAATCTAAGATTTCTTTTGGAAAACTATTTAAACCAGCGTGTTTTAGTATCATTTTGTTAGGCAGCTTAAGAAGTAGGTACTCATTTTAAAGGCCTGACACTTGTACTTTGCTGCAAAAACTCTTCTGCTTCTTAAATGCAGAGATACTGCATGCAAGTTTCCCCATGCAATCTGTTGCCTCCTGTCGAGATTGTCTTTTTACGTACAAACAAAATGCACCCAATTTTCTGGCCAGTTTGTAAAAATTGCTTTCTTGGCATCTAGTAACGGTAATTCAAAACACTCCAATATTTTCCACACAAAATGAGAAACTACGTCCCCGTAGAATGAAAACTGTGAAGGCAGCTGAGCTGCCAGGTTTTCAGAACTACCACTGATGGTTGTGTTTCCTGCAATAAAATACAGCTGGTGAGGAGGGATCCACTTGACTGTGATTTTAGCTGGAGGAGAGCAGATTTTAAAAAAAACCAAAAACAGCTGGCCATATCTGTTTATAAGATGTGACATGGAAGCAAGATTTTGAAGAAGAGTGAGGGAAAGAAAGGGTACAGGGAAGGCGAAGAGTTCTCACCCTTTTGAGAACTGCTGGTTGCGTTTGTCTCGCTGGCCCAGGACGGCCAGACCAGCCAGCGAGAGCGTGGCAGCGCTGCAGCCTGCGGCGTTTGCCCTTCAGCCACCCTTTTGTGCGAGAATCGCATCTCGTCCTACCTGCTCCTCTGTTCTTTGGGAAATGCTTCTCCCCTCTCAGGGAAGAGGTTTAATTCCATGAACCTGCTGCCATGGCGCCTCTTCACCAGGGCAGAGACGAGTTCAGGTCTTTCCCTTTGATGTGAAGCAGCAACTGCAGCAGCCGAGGTGGGGCTGGCTGCCTACAGCAGTGCTTCTGCCGGGAGCTCCACGAGGAGGCGTTGGGGCAGGCGTGTGTGTGTCTGTCTTGTTGCGTGTTGTTTAATGTATTTGTGTTTTCTGTTTGTGCAGGGGAAATAGATTTTGCTCGTAGCCCACCCAGTTGATCATGTTGACCATGGAGGAACATAGACTAGACATGAAGCCTTCTGGATCTACAGTTGTGTCTTCCCTAGCACTGATTCTGGAAAACATACGCTGAACAGTCATTGGTCCCTGAAGAGAGCATGACTTTTACTATTTTTTTTTCCTTGCCACCCACTCTGGGTTTTTTTCCTTCATTGAACGATAACTGACTCGATAAGACTCAGCAGCCAGTTGTCACTTGAGGAATGTACTGTGTCAAAGCCCTCCAGTCTAATGGATTATTTTTTTTTCCTCCCCTTCTGCTTTCTCTTCCTACCTTCCATTGTATTTATATATTTTGTTATTTCCTCTCCTCACCCTCCTGACTGTCACGGCTGCATCTCGGACAAAGGCAGCTGACAGAGCACTACACATCTTACCTTGGACACCAGGCCAGGTGCCGCAGTGAAGAACCCAGTTCCTGTGAGCTGCCTGTGTGCGTTGCTGAAGTGACGTTTTACACAAAACGTGCCATTGCAGTGATATAAAGATATTTTTTTTTCCTTGAATGGATAATGGATTGTTATCTCCTCTGGAAGGTGCGTTTGTGTGCTTGTGTGCGTGTGCGTGCGTGCGTGCGAGTCACCTTGTGTGCAGAACTGCCTGTGAGTGTGCCGAAAACATCTCTGGAAGCACAGGAGTCCTCTCTCATGTGAGAGCAGGCCAATAGCTTGTGTCTGCAATGGTAGCAAGAAGACACACATTAAAAAACGTTTAAATTTCTGTATCTATAGGTGTATTTTTTAGCTGCCACGCTAACCTTAATGAGTAGTTCTGCAGCCTGAAAGAGGGGCAGTTTCGAGTTGGTTTTGGAGTTGTGTTTTACAGGATCCATAATGGTGCTATAGATTTTCATAAGTGGTGTTTATTTGTATTAATGACCTGTTCATGACCAAGATTGACCAGTTTCTCAATGGCAAGGTGATGGAGGCAGCACTTGCATATCCATCTACTGATAACCCTGAACTGAATTCTTAAGTAGCCTTTTTTATCTGCAAAAATAGGATTTTAAAAGACTTGTTGAATGCGAACAAATATATGCAATTCTTCCATTCACAGAGGCACCTCACTCTGTGTGCAAGCTGTGAAAACTTGTAACGTAATAATCAGAATGCTTCATTTGCTCCCAGTTAAGGAACAAAACCACAAGAAGACCTGTAAGGTTACAGTAGTTAGCAAGAGAGCTGTGAAACGTGTCCCGTTCCTCACGTGATGAAGAGCTGGTGAGGTGCAGTAGAAGGCACCCAAGGAACAGTGCTGTGACTTACCGGTACTACCTAGAAAAGCTTTCTGTCTTTGGGGAATTCACTGTTCGTGTGGTGTGAGCTAGTTTGAGCAGAGCTGTGCACCAGAGCCCAGGAACATACAGCCGCTGGGTATTTGGAGTGGGCCAGGTGATGCTTCCCGCTTGCTTCCTGGCCGCAGGGGCTGGCATCTGCAGCGGTACCCC